CCATTCTAAGCAGTTTTCTTACATAAAAACAAACAAATAATTTCCAGGTCAAAAGACCAGTTACAAACCAGTGACACGTCAGTGTCTAATGTTCACTGCTACACGCTGAGGACCTTTTCACTGAACAGTTTTTCTTCAGAAACATCAACATGTCTGTTTTCTCTGGACACGAACAAGCCCACTCGTGGCTGATGGTGTCTCCAGCAGTAGAACATGTTCACTCTGAGGCTGTAGATGATGATTGTTGCACACACAGATACCTGGTTGTCAGTTTGACATATTGTCCCTCACATCCCACCAGCAGGTCACTGGTTTCAATGAGGTAGGGTTGATGCAGACAATACTCCATAGATTCTCAGTGGGGTTTAGGTCCAGTGAGTTGGCTGACCAGTCAAGCACTGTGATGGCATGGGCATCCAACCAGGTTTTGGTGCTTCTGGCGGCGTGGGCAGGGGTCAGGTCCTGCTGGAAGATGAAATCTGCATCTCCATACAGATCCTCAGCAGAAGGAATCATGACGTTCTGTAAAACATTCTGGTAGACAGTTGCAGTGACCTTGGATTTAAGAAAGCAGTTACCAACACCTGCACTGGACATTGCAACCCCAAATCATGACTGACTGAATATTTCACAATGGACCTCAAGCAGTATGGGCTCTGTTCCTCACCAGTCTTCCTCCAAACCCTTGGACCTTGATTTCCGAATGAAAAGTATGCTTAACTTTCATCGGAAATGGATACGTTTGCTCAGGTTCAGAAGTGGCTTGACCCGAGGAACCCGACAGATGCCCATCTCCCAGATGCGTCTGAATGTGGTGGTTTTTGAAGCTGTGACTCCGCCTCATTCCACTCTTTCTGGATCTCTGCCAGATTCTGGAATCTTCTCTGTTTAATAATCTACCGAAGCCCATAAGTCATCTCTTTTGCTGGTGCATCTTCTCCTGCCACATTTTGCCCTTCCACTAGACTTTCCATTGATATGCTTGAACACAGCACTCTGTGAACAGCCAGCCTCCTTAGCTATGAACTTTTGTGGCTTACCCATCCTATGGAGGGTATCAATGATGGTCTTCTGGCCAGTTATGTCTGCAGTCTTCCCCATATTGAACCGAACTGAGACAATTGAACCAAACTGAAGCAATTTAATGACACCTGGGGAAACCTGTGCAGGTGCTTTGAGTTTAGTAGATGATTAGTGTCACACTCAGTTAAAAACATTCATGCCCTGCAACATTTGGGCTGATTTCTCCAAAGTATTCACATTTTTTGAAATCCTGTTTTCATGGGTTTCATGAGCTGGAAGCCCAAATTATGTAAAAGTAAAACGAATAAATACTTGAAATTGTTTAATTGTGGGCCCTGAATCTATCTTCTATTAAAGATCAACTTTTTGAATGGAATTGTGGAAGTTAAACAACTTTTCCATGATATTCAATATTTTTTTTGGAACTGTTCTGTACATAAAAAGTTTATCTGAGGAGCAGACTGCTTTGAATTTAACTTCATCGCAGAACTCTCATCTTGAGCAAACATGAAGGCAACAGTGGGAAGGAAAAACTTCCTCAACAGTTGGAATGATCTATTTTAAATTGCTTGATTTAAAAAGAAAAAAAAGTTTTGTTTGCTTTCAAAGACTCTGCAGTTTGAAAAAGGTAAATTTGTGGTTATAATGAGAAAACCTCAAGGGGTCACAACATTTTAAGCGTATCACACTATAAATAAACAGCATACCTGTTTTATGTTTTGTCCTCTGTTTAAATTAAAACTTCAGACCAGTCAAAATTAGCCTGTGCATAATCATTGTAGTATTTATTCTGTTCTAACTTTTGTTTCTTGTTTGTGACTTAAATATTTAATGCCATTATTTAAAATGTATTGCCAATAAATGTCTGATTCAGAATATCGTACTAAGCAAAACACAAACATTTTAACAAAGTTGCATATAAAACATTTTGTCTCTAAATGCTGTAAATCTAAGAACAAAAACATTTGATCACTCTGCATTTTATCCTTTCATTTGTAGCTTAGTAACGGCCCGGTCGTGGGGTCTCGCAAGCGTCCATCAGAAGGGAATTATGAGAAGGAGAAGGAACATTGCATCGCCCTGTTTGACCAGTGGTCAGAGGCCGACCAGGTGGAGTTTGTCGAACGCCTGATTTCCCGTATGTGCCACTACCAGCACGGCCACATCAACTCCTACCTCAAACCCATGCTGCAGAGGGATTTTATCACTGCATTGCCAGGTACGAACACCCATGCCTCTACAAACTGTTTGTGATAGATTTGTGTTGCGGTTCACTGGAGTTATGCAGCTGTAAGTCTGATGCTACATATTTTTTGAGGGACATTTGTGTTACCTTAAGGTAGATAATCTTTTCACACTTTTCAGTACACATATTTATGACCATATAATAAAATAAAATGTGCTACAATAAGATGGTCATTGCAGCTAGATATCGGTGATTCCCCTAGGTTACTTGCTTTGGGAGGACACTCTTTTGGGTTTTGTCGGCGATGGGTTGCTGGGGTGAGAGAAGCGAAGCGCTACTTTAGTAGTGGCAGTTGTCAACTGGCGGGGGGGGACGGGGGTTGGTTAGCTTAGCGATACGTTTGCATTGAACGTGGGAGGTGAGGGTTGGTTAGCTTAGCGCTACGTTTGTATTACCTGCAGTTTGGAGTCTGAGCTGAGCTGCTAATCTCTGCTTCTTCTCCGGAAGTGGCGGAGGCGGAGCGCTCGGTTCTGTTGACAGGGCGGGGCACCCTCCATTGATAATGGTAGCACGATGACTCAGTGGTTGGCACTGTTGCCTCACAGCTAGAAGGTTCTGGGTTCAATCCCCGGTTGGACCTGGGGTCTTTCTGTGTGGAGTTTGCATGTTCTTCTTGTGCTTGAGTGGGTTTTCTCCAGGTGCTCCAGTTTCCTCCCACAGACCAAAAACATGCATGTTAGGCTGCCTTCAGGTCCAGGCCTCTCTCTCTCTCACTCTCATCTTTGTGTCTCCCTCCCTTTAGCCCAGGGCCTGGATCACATTGCAGAGAACATCCTGTCTTTTCTGGATGCACGTTCGCTGTGTGCGGCAGAGTTGGTGTGTAAAGAGTGGCAGAGGGTAATTTCTGAGGGAATGCTGTGGAAAAAGCTCATTGAGCGTATGGTCCGAACTGACCCTCTTTGGAAAGGCCTGTCTGAAAGACACCAGTGGTGAGCGCATGACACACACACAAGCACACACGCATGGTTTAACCTGTTGCACTAAATTTACGGTTACTGCTAGAAATTAAGTGGAGGATGTGATTAAAATGTTAGTTTGTTAATCCCTTAGCTTATTTTAAGTAAAGTAACCTACGTATTTTTTGCCCTTTTTTTTTCTTTAGAATCTATCGTAGGTTTAAAAAAAAAAATCAGACTTGAGGAACTGTAGTTGTCGTCGTGTTCTTACATATTCTTTGTGTTGCTTCCTAATTTCAGGGAGAAATATCTGTTCAAAAACCGCACATCAGAAATCCCACCCAATTCCTACTATCACTCTCTTTATCCTAAGATCATTCAAGACATAGAGGTAAGATGCAGGAGTTAAATTGAATTTTACAATAAAATATCCGTTTTTTTGGTTAATTTTAAAAAAAGTTTAGTGTGTTTTTATTATTTGAACATACATTTTTTCTGTTTCTTGTTAAAATCACTTTTATGAACTATAACTGATGGTTTCCAAAATGTAAGAAAATAAAAAAGAACCCACTTGAGCTCTAATTTAAACGGATCTCAGTAATATGTATTACTTATTATAACATGGAGATTTTATTGACTCTAAATAGCAACACATTTTAAAATTTAAATATGTCCTTTTGACTCAGTTGTTGTCATTGTCACTCGCCGAGCTACATTTTGACAATGTTGCACCCTATTACTTGAATAAATTTATTTGCTAAGAATGAATTACTTTTGAATGAAGTGGGGTATTTTTCCTGTTTTTATACAGTACGTTAAACACACAAGTCTTGCCTCTGAATATGAGGATGAGATTATTGTTCTGTTTCTCAGGAGTTGGTCTGTTTATTCTCTTCTTTCCAGTGCAGAGCACAGATAAGTGCTAAAACATTGAGACTCTTGATAAAACAGTTGATCATTCTTAGTACTTTTATTTGTGTATAGTTGTACAGCTTAAGAAGTGTGCGTAAAGGAACTATGGGTGCAACCACCTAGTTTTTTACTTTGAAGTGAACCAAGCAAACGTGTTTAAGAAGTTCTGTCAATGTTAATTTTTTGGATTTGAAAGAAATGAGTTCAATCTAACAAGAGGCTCAACTCTTATCTGTATAAGATAAAGTGGCATAAACTTGTATTTGCAGCCAAATTAAGTTGCTTAAACATTTTATTTTTTTTGCTTGTTTCACTTTGTCTGCAGAGTTTGCATATCTCTCCCCTGGAATCATTTCAATGTATGCTATTAGTCCTTACAAGTCTTTGTTCCCTCAGATAGTTATTTTCATCCTATCCGTCTGTTAATTAACTGTTTCTGTCTTTTGGGTTTTGGATGTCAATTGTCCTTTTTGCATTTGTCTCCTTTTTTACGCCCGCAGACAATTGAGGCTAATTGGCGATGTGGCAGACACAACTTGCAAAGGATTCAGTGTCGCTCAGAAAACAGTAAAGGTGTTTACTGTCTCCAATACGATGATGACAAGATCATCAGTGGCCTTAGGGACAACTCAATCAAGGTATGTATCCTAAATGTTTTTGTTTAGTTTAATCTCAGGATTTTTCCTTTTTATTGTTGTTACTTCTGGTTTGAAGCTAGTTCAAAACAATATAATGCGAGCTATATCCAGGCAGTTTTATACTATCCGAGGTATAATACTTCATGTTCTAATGCAAAGTCATTCCCGTTGTGACTGTCCAAAGAGCTGTTACTATAAACAAAAGTCATTGTCTAGAATTACAGCCAGTGGCGCCTCCTTTTATGACAGGTTTATGCCATTGTAGGGTTATCTCATCCCCTCAGAAGTTCAGTTGCTGATCACAGCTTGAGTCGCACTTCAGACTCTCGGTATAATGACTATGCATTTAGGATTAATCTCACTATATGTTTATTAAATGGCAGCAGCATAGTCAGACAATTGCTTTCACAAATGTTAAAATTGCCAACTATATTATATAATTTTTTTTGTTGTTACTTTTAGCTACACAATTAAGTGTTACGTCATTCCTATTTGCTAAACGTGTTATTAGTATATTGTGTATGTTCAGTCTCTGCGGTTTGAGAATGTTTTCAAGCATTCACAACTAGTTTCCTGGAGCTGAGGCAGATAAGCATATTGCTGCCATGTTTCTGTCTGCCCCACTGGCCAAAAAGGACGTCTTGAAGTAATTACATTTGATCCAAATAGTGTGTTTGAGCACCAGGAAGAGACAAAAAAAAGTATTTGCTAAGATCAAGACGTGGTTGTATTTTCTTAGCCTATGTTTGCACCAGAAAATATTCAGTTCATAAAAAAATACACAGTGGTTTATTTTATTGTGTGTGGCTCTGGATTGAAACCCCAGACACAGAGACAAGACAAAACTAAATTATAGGATAAAAGGGATCAACTTCAGGATGGTTGTGTGTTCCATTTATCTGTCTAGCCTGGAAGAAGGAGATAATGATGATTATGAAGACAGGGGTGAATGATGGGAGGCAAAGAGCAGATTTGTCTTAATGTTATGAAGGAGGCTGACACACAGGCAGAGAAAAACTCAGTGGCTATTAGAAAGCACACAGTTCAGCACAGCATCAGTAGTGAAATGGGGCATAAACATTACATGAGCATTGCTGAATGACTAGGCCTCCATGAGCATGACCCAGATCTGCATCCTTTTCAAAACCATTTGTTTTTCCAGTAATTGTGCCCCAAAATGTTCTCTGGTGCACTCATTAGCTCTGTTCTGTTCTTTTTGCTTTGTAGATCTGGGATAAGCAGACACTGGAATGTCTGAAGGTACTGACAGGTCACACAGGCTCAGTATTGTGTCTCCAGTACGACGAGAGGGTCATTGTCACTGGGTCTTCTGACTCCACTGTCAGGTATGAAGTCCATCTCACTGCAGCAGGAACTTTGTGCACTTTTGAATCAGGAACAAAAGCTGAGTCAGCGAGAATTATAATGACTGTGATTAAAGAATTTGATGCTTCATCTTTTTCTACATGCAGGCTTAAAGTTTGACAAGTAATTATATCAAAATTTAGACAAAAATAAAATAGGACATTGTGGTTGTACAATTTACACTAAACACATTAAAGCTCACTTTTATAGTAATTATATGTTTCCCCTTCTGACCCATGATGCCACATAGCAGAAGGCAAAGACTACTATTTACAGTACCTTTAGAATATACACTATTTAGACCTATTTAAACCACTGACAGACAAAGTAACACTGCTCATGTTATTATAGTGCAATGTTTGTCTGGGAAAATCCCACATCCTGTTATTAGGCAAGTGTCTAAGATCAATCATTCAATTGATCTTAGACACTCACTAATTGTTTTTGTTGACTAGTCATCTTGAACCTCCAAAATTCACGGTTGAAACCTGTGCCTTCGTGTAAAAAGTTTCTCTCTGCAAAAAGAAGCTGAGAACTTGTTTATGGATTTTTTTTTATTAAAAAAAGCTTTGTGTGAAAAATGCTATGCTAAAGAGCTCAAAACACACGAGCGTCCGCCGTTCTGAGAACTGAAGAGACGGTCCATGTCACGTCAAGGGGCCTCCCTCCCATTTTTCCTAGAGACATGCGGCTCGCTCCCTCTCTATCCATCCTTCCGTTCAGACAGTCTTATACTGCCATCCGGTGGTTGAAAAAAGGTACTACATGCAAAACAAATTAACAAACATTTCTTCTTAAATTTGACAATAATTACTAATTATTGTCGAGCAATATTATCGTTTATCACAATAATTTCTGAGACAATTAATCGCCCAGCAAAATTTATTGTGGCAGGCCTAGTTAGGCGTATGTTAAAATCAAACCCAAAACAAAAACCACAGCATAAAAGGTACAGAGAGTCAATGTCCTTAAAGCAGACAACTTAAATGTTCTTTCATTATGGTGACTTTTTAAGTATTACTGGTTGGTAAAATATCAATGCTGAACAACAAAAATTATAGGTTCTAAAGAAAAAATTAAAATAGGACAATTCTTATTTTCATTTAATTTAACTAATTAGAACATGGTTGAGAATATTATGGGGCAGCACGATGACACGGTATAACAAATTCTGTGAAAACTACAACAAATTAGCAGTTTTTTTTCTGTTATGTTTTCAGGAGTGCATTACATAACGCACACCCTTTTTTTTAATTTACCCTTTATTTATACAGATAGTCTCATTGAGTCACAAGAACTCTTTTTCAAGAGAAACCCGTTTTGGGTTTTTTGGGAGCAGATGGTGGGGGTTAAGTGCCTTGCTCAGGGGTCCAGAGTGGGGCAAATGAGGGTGGAGACAGGTGTGGGTGTTTCACCTTTTCCACCCACATTTTGATGTTGATGGTACCGGGAGTTGAACCTGGGACTTTAAGATCACAGGCCCATCTTCTCTAACCTCTGCGCCACCACTCCCCATGAAAAATATATTTGGAAACATCTATTTCTTGTTTTCATTCAACCTTTATTTAAACGGGTAAATCCCACTGAGCCTCGAGGACTCATTTACAAGAGAGACCAGTTATTGTCTTGTTGATCACTTTTGTGTGGGAGGAACAGAAAGTGGTTTTTTTTTGTTGTTGTTGTTTTTAATTATTATCCTTCATTGTATTTTTTTTTACCTAATATAATGAGTATGTTAATATATTTTTTTAATATTTTATATTTGTAAACATTTAAAATGCATGATTTCCCAGAATTTCAACAAACTGCAATAATTTGAAAAAAAGCTGGGGTGTAAACAAACACTTCATATGCATCATTTTGTTGTAAAAACAAAACCTAAAGGTATAATTTAAGGTTAAAAAATGCAAACGTTTCTCTTTATTGCAATTAAGCAGTGAAAATTTGAATGCTGTCCGTTGCATGACTTATCATTTACTACGTAAATGGATGTTCTGAATGTTATAATTTCAGTCTTTTCTGCACACTGATTAGATGTTTCTTTTGGTAAAATGCTGCAGAAGGACCTGTTGCAGTTTCTGTTAAGATATTCTATTTTAGTTGTATTATTATTATTATTATCTGAGTATCCAATCATTGACAACCTTTTTCTACAGTCACATAGCCTATGCTTGCAGACAGTTATGTCCTGCTACGTGTTGGTTAATTTATAATTTATGTTTTCACCTACATCACTGCTGCACCCCTCAGTCTGGCAGTAACTGAACTAAACAGAACATTAACATTTATTCATTCATAAACAAATCAAATTTGCAGCTGCAACTAGAGATATTTGTGTATGTTTTCTTGGTGAGTTTTGAAAACTCACCCAGAGTTTATATGTTGGCTACCGCACACAGAAGCTCCAAGTTAATTCCCTTTGACTTCACACTTCAGGCGTACTAAGTGGATTTAATCCAAGGAAAATATGACTTCACTTCCTTAGCAACAGCTTGATGGGCACTTTGTTTGTATATTTGGTTGTCAGCTTTTCCAGTGTGTTTTGCGTTTGGCTCTCAGTGCCCAGATGTTGAGTAACTAGCAGCTGTGCGTTTGTTCACATAAAACTTCTTTGCAAAAATGTGCAGTCTTAGTTCCTCTCATTAGTAGAGTTTTCTCACACATCTTTGTTGTTCTACCTGTTTTTCCTTCTTCTTCTTTTGCCTCTGTTGCTCGTCTTTGTGTTGTTCTTTGTCCTACTCATCTTCCTGCTGGCACATCTTGTTTTTCTTTCCGAATAAATTTCTCCCATTTTTGGTCACTACTTGTCATTTCTTCTGTCTTTGTGTCACACGTTGCTCTTAACTCCTAGTTTTCATCACCTTTACACTAAATGTTAGGATACATGGATATCTCTCCCAACTTGAATTTTATTGTTCTTTACCATTTGTTCCTCTTTATTTTTTCTTTCAGGGTGTGGGAGGTGACGACGGGTGAGGTACTGAACACACTGATTCATCACAATGAGGCAGTTCTTCACCTGCGGTTTGCGAATGGTCTGATGGTCACCTGCTCTAAGGACCGTTCAATTGCAGTCTGGGACATGGCCTCGCCAACTGACATCAGCTTGCGTCGTGTCCTTGTGGGACACCGCGCTGCCGTCAACGTGGTTGACTTTGATGACAAATATATTGTGTCCGCCTCAGGGGACCGCACCATCAAGGTGAACTGATAGTGATTTTATTTTTTCTTATTATTAGTTTACTGTTTACACATCTCTACCACAGTTCATTAATGCAAACTCCCTGACTTTAAAACCCTGCCATCTTTAATCCTGGCTTTTGTGTTGCCCTCTCTGTAGGTATGGAGCACCAGCACCTGTGAGTTTGTACGCACTCTAAATGGTCATAAGAGAGGGATCGCCTGTTTACAATATAGAGATCGTCTGGTAGTCAGTGGTTCATCTGACAACACAATACGGTACGTGTGAGACTCGAGTGTGGAGTTGCATGTTTACTTCATTCTGTCTACGCAGAGTTTGTGTGTTGAGGACAGATGTGTAAAATACCACATGCAAAAAGACAAGTTTCAAAACTGTATCATATTAAGTTATTTATCAAAATAACTCAATAGTTCTCATCACAATTATTACAGTCTCTTAAAGATTTATTGTTTAAGAATGATTTATGTGCGTTTTAAAGTTATTTTTGTGAGGGCTTTTGGTTTTGTTTTCTCTCTTGGGTGTGATAAGTCTTTGAAAGTGCACAACGTTTATAACAATAAGGGCAAAAATGGCACACGTTAAAGCTTTGTAACAAGTCATCTAGATGAAGCTAACAATAGTCACAAGTTCTAACATCTCTCAGCGCTGCTATATTGCCATACCCTTCTAAAATGGGCATTGAAAATCTTGAAAAGTTCATTTAGATAAAAAAAACAACAACTTAATTTTAAATAACAGTCTTGCTTTTATAAATGTTTCATAATCGAGCACTGATTGCAGTGTAAATATTAAGTGTTTACTGCAGGTTGTCCTAAAGGCTTTTCTTCCTTCAGGTTATGGGACATAGAGTGTGGCGCCTGTTTGCGGGTGCTGGAAGGTCACGAGGAGTTGGTGCGCTGCATTCGCTTTGACAACAAAAGGATCGTCAGCGGCGCCTACGATGGGTAAGTCTCTTGAATCCACACAGTTTAGAGCAATGTTTGTTTTCTGACATTCCTTTGTGCCATGTTTCTGTCTGCAGCAAGATAAAAGTGTGGGACCTGCAGGCAGCGCTCGACCCACGGGCCCCTGCCAGCACATTATGTCTGCGCACTCTAGTGGTATGTCGCATTTGGGCTGTTTAATTTCACTTTGTAACTAATGGTGCTAATGCACGAGTGCTGTTTTTAGGCCTCGTACATGTACAGTAACGTACAGAAGCTTCCCAACTTCTCAAATACAAAGTGACTATCTAGATGGGAGTTTGTGTATTTAATAACAACCTTCTAGTGAGAAATGTTAGTTTAGTCCCCCACTGTGGTACTGTATATACAGCATTGAACTTTGAGATTCTTATGCACATCCAAACACATCACATGCTCACATTGACACACATTACATTACTTTGGAATGAAAAACTTGTGTTCTGTCTTTCTGTTTTTGGGATACGGGACAATATCACTAACTTATTTGTGTACACGATCCAGTGAGTTAATGGTTTTCCCGTCTTGTTTTCAGGAGCACTCTGGCCGCGTATTCCGCCTGCAGTTTGACGAGTTTCAGATCATCAGCAGTTCTCACGACGACACCATTCTGATCTGGGACTTCCTGAACGTCTCAACGAATGGCCAGTCAGAGGGACGGTCTCCTTCTCGCACCTACACTTACATTTCTAGATAGCAGGTATGCATGGCTGTACAAACCCTTGAGAACAATCAAAAGTTTAGTTCTCCTGAGCATGCCTGTTTGTGATGTAATATCCTTTGTGTTCCCCACCTAGGTGGTGCCCTCTGAGACCCTTTTTCTTGGAGGAAATCCAGGCCCGATTGGATGATGGGGGCATCTGTCATGCACAGGCACCCATCTTTTCTCCTTCTTGTCATCTCTCTGTCCATCTCCCACTCAGTTCCCATTCCCGCCTCCGCTGCGCCCGTTTTCGCTTGTGCCCGTAGCCCGCCGGTACCATGACATACACACAGGTCAATGCCGACGAGGATCCCCTACTACAGAATCAACGCAACTCTCCCAGGAAGTTCACCTTCTACTACTAATTTATGTTTTCTAAAGTAAACTAATGACAGTATTAACGTAGGCCTGATATAAGTCACAAGCTCCCTTTTTTGTTTTTAATCTCCTTAATGATCAAAACTTGGTCAGTTTTCAACCCCTGCCAAAACCAAGGTTTCCACAGATATGGAATTGCTTATGGATATATATTTATATACACATTACACAAACACATACACAGTGGCACAGTTGGACAGAGGATGACTGGAGCTGTGACGCGGGAGACAGACTTTTTACTCGGCTCTATGAAAGAAGGGAAGGACAGGAGATCAAGGGACTGAAGGAGTGAGAAGTTAAGGATCCGTGCTCCCTCTTGCTCCTCCCTGCCTCTTTTCTCCACTCCCCATTTCCTCCAGCTAGCTACCCTTTCACAGCCCCATCAGAGGTGCACACTCACTAGGAATATGGACGCACACACTCGAAATGTGTGTTTGTGTCTGTGGACTTGTGAAACGGCAGAACAGAGCAGAAGCGTCAAGACATGCATGTGAGGTTTCCATGGATACAGCATCCTGGTACACCGCTGCTTTTTTTTTTTTTCCCTCTAACTTTTTCTTACTGTTTTATTTTTTTTTTATTACAGTTATTTTCTAATGTATTTTGGTTCCTAGTACAAAACAAAGAAATCATACAAAGCTTAATTAGTCTTTACTCTTTCTGTCACCATGTCTTCACCATGTCTTCAATGTCTTTTTTCCCCCCCCCTCATTCTTTTCCTCTTACTTTGACCTGAGTTCATCTGTCTCTTTCATGCCACCCTTCTCTCCCATCATCTAAGTGCTTGCTTTGGTTATGAGAGAAGCTGGAATTCAAGAGCTCAAATTTAGCTGTAAACAGAGTTGTCTTGTCAAAAATTGTGTTGTATATTAAAATGATTTTTTAAAGAAGAAAATGATCTTATTGTGAATAAAGTACTTGACAGTGGTGGAGTGTTGAGCCGACTGTAGCATGAGTGTCTGTGTGATTGAGTGTTGCTCCACTATGAAACATGAAAATATCTGGCTAAGTAGAAAATGCTGATGCACTAAAATGATGAATGAATGAACGGTTGTCTTTCAACATCTCCTTTAAAAGTAGTTCAGCTTTTAAGCCTTCCTGCAGCACAATCTGCATCATTATCTGTATGAATAACACTTGACATGAGTGTCCTTTAAAAGTTTATTTTCTATAAGTTTTGGCTTAAAGACAATACTTGTTCACTTGCATTTCATGTATTTTTGTTTCACACCTGCCAAGCCCAGTGCTTTAATTTTAAATTAAGTTTGCACCATTATAAAGCTAACTTTGTTTTTTTTTTGTGACCATTTTATGTATTATGAGTTTTTGAAATGATCTGACCTCGGTGTATAGGTCAACTACATTTTATGGGGTGGAAAAACCTACTAAAAGTTACAACTTTAACATTTTAAGAATGCCCGTGTTGTTCTTAGTATGTCCACCAGGTGGGAGTATAGGCTCATTTTTTCTTAAAGCAATTTATTTGTTTATAGTTTTGGCTCATTCTGTCAGGTGGCCAAGTTTTCAGTTTAAACAACCTGTTACAGAAGATAACATCATGCAAACACTATAAAAATGTTTAAAGCATTATTTTGTTAAAATCTAATTGAATTTTATAGAATGTACTGTATTTGTCCAAATTTTCAGAACCATAGTCGCCACAGCTGTGGGGGGCCGGGTGGATTTTCTACATTTCTAGGCTTACGTCTGTATAACAGAATGTTTCTAATTCTGGGAATAAGTTATGTGAGATGAATTTGTGTTTGGTGGAGTACCAATAATATATGATGTGTGTATGTGTTGGATATGGGTGTGTGTTCTTCCTCTGGGTCTGTGGGATTTTGGACCATAATTCCTGCAGCTCTCAGGTCACAGTTCTGTTCTCACGCACATATTTGGCATTCCTTCCCCGACACGATTACCATACACCTTCCACTTGGGCTACGCGGAATATTTCCATCATTCCCAAGTGGAACTGAAGCAACGTTCCAGAAATGAGCAACTTACACAAGCAGCAGCACCACCCCCTCCCCCCTTACTCCTCTTTATCCCACACTTGCTTTCTCTTCCACATTGGTGTCTCCTCCCTATACCCCCCCATTCATTGCAGATTCCTGTTGTCTTGCAGCAGGAATCCTCTGGTAGAATATTTCCCTCTGAGTCAGCCGTTCGTGTCCGTCTGTGTGTTTGGGTCACTTTGCAGTGACATCTCTTCAGTGACCTGCTGCTGGGAAAGGGAAGGAAGTGAAGGGATGGAGGATGGAGAAAAAAAGTGCAACCATAAAATGCCATCTCACTTCATCGAGATAATTTTACATTATTCTGACTGTTCATGATAAAGTAAGTTTCTTTCAGCTGCTCTCTTCTTCAGGGGTTGCCACAGTGAGCAAACTCATGATTTGCTTTACACTGGATGACCATGATGCAACCTGGGCTCGAACCCACAACCTCAGGATTACAAGACTGCAGCCCATTTGCTAAAAATCATTTGCAGGTTCTTTTTGTTGTTGCGTTTGAAATATTTGGACTTTTCTAGCTCATCTAACACATTGCTGTCAATTTAAGTGTACCTCATCAGATTCCTCCTCGTCGAGAACAACTAATCCAAAATGGAAGAAGTTGTATGTGAAAAACTAATTACTAAGAGCCAACGTTAGCAGCAATAACTAGAAGTCGTCATTTTGAATGATCAGTTTCTCACGTGGAGCAATGTTTTTACAATATTGCTTTAGTTCATTGAGGTTTGCAGGCTTTGTCTCTGCTAAGGTCCCACCACAGTGTTTCAAAGTTATGATCTGGGCTTTGACTGGACCATCTCAACACATAGATTTAATTAAATTTTCAGCCATTCTATTGTATATTTGCTGCTCTGTTTGAGATTTCATTATCCTGATTGGTCAAAGTGTCAACTGTTGGACCAGTGGCTTCACATTTGACTCTAATCCTTTGGTTTACAGAGGACTTTATGGTCAACTCATTGAGTACCCAGGTCCCATGGCTGCAAAACGAGCCTAAATCATCACCACTGTGTTTGGTATGAGATGTTTGTGGACTTTGGTCAGCTGCTCAAAGGATACCATTCCATAAGTCACATGGTCCATTCACATGTATTCACAAATATAAGTTGTTTACTTGTTTTTTTTTGTTTGTTTTTTCCAGAGGAAATAGATTTTCTCCTGGCATCACTTCCAAACAAGCCATATTTGTTGAATCTTTTTTTTTTTTCCTCTAAATGTCCTGTAATGAGTTTTAAAGCTTTATTCTGCTTACTGTAATTTCAAGTATTGCATGGTCTGACCTTGAGGTGAATTTACTGGGGTGTCTATTACTGGGAAGATTGGCCTAAAAGTTTTATACTTTTGAAAAATCTTTCTCATTGTAAAATGATAGACGTTAAATTTGAATCTTAGACTAAAACACTATATTTAAGGTCATTGCTATGGTGCATTTTTCTCTAATTCTAACACACACCTGTAGGCTGGAGCAGAAAATGCCAAAACTCAATCTTTCACATAGGTCAGGGGTGTCAAACTCACTTACAAAAGGGGCCAAAATTAAAAACTTTTTCAAACTAAGGGCCGGTTTCAGAATCTACATGAACTCAAATCAGATCCCCAACATCTTTACTTGGTCACATGTTCCTCAACAAGAGTTTGATTGGTCCCATTTGACATTCTCTGTTGCACTTTTGACATCATAATCAAAGATTACTGAAAAAAAAATTAAGTGATAAAAGTATTTTACATTTAAAATAACATCTTGGGGGCCAGATAAGACGTCAACGAGGGCCACATTCGGCCCCCGGGCCTTGAGTTTGACACATATGACATAGGTGGTCACAATGATGGTGATCAGTTCCATCAATACATTTGATCAGCAGTACCTGGCTGCTTTCCCTCCTATTTTTTTATTTATTTAACAAGGGTAGTTTTTTTTAGTTTGTTACACACTGCATTTTCATTTCGGTTTTGCTTTTGTTTATTAAATATGGTGGAAACTGTGTTTTTGTACATTTGAGGTTAGACTTAAATCTTAATAAATTAATGATTGTGCTTAATTTTTATGAAGACTGTGATAAGATCAATGTTTTTTAAGGCTCTGCACCATGCCAGTCAATCATAGTAGATTAAAAGCGTATATGGAAATACATAAAATTATTATCATACATTAACTTCGTAAAGATAAGTTATGTAGGTAATGGCTAAGAAAATGAGTGGATCTGGATTTAAACTAATCCCAAACCAGTATTACAAATAACAAATCCTACTGACCAGTTTCATACTTTTTCCACAAAATAAATCGGCTATAGATGATGAATATATTGTTTTAAAAGCTATGACTCATCTGATGCAAGATTAGACTGTATATTGCATCAATAATGTATTCTTTCTTTCTTAAAGTTTATGGCTGGAGAATTCCCATTCGTTTTGTCATCATCTCAATAAAAGACGATCCCAATGATACAAAATAGTTCCATATTGTAGGAGCTGGGAGAACTCGGCGTTTGGCAATTTTGCTTAAATTAAATTTGAAGTCATAGTTTTGTTGTGTAACTTAAAACCAGCTGACCAGCAGTGGCGAGACAAAAGAAACTTTACAACATAAGAGATGATGAAGCTGTAATAATATGAACAACCAGATAATAAAAGGCTGGGCGACATTTGAAATGTTTCTGTAAGGTTTACTTAGTCAAAAACTGCTGCACACAGAGCTGAAATAAATAAATGAAATAATTTTATAATTATAGTAACCATCATAGTAAGATTGCTTATTTAAGTTCTGTCTTCTCATATATATATAATATATAAAACTTTCAATAAAACATTCCCGTTGTTTTTTGTTCCTCTTGTGTGTATGAATGAGACTTGGGATTGTTCCACTGGATGTCCTGGTAGCAGCACTCTGTATCCACGGTATCACACAGGAGCATCATCCCCTGGGTTGTTTCTATAGCGACGCTATTAGAGAAGGCACCCTCCCCTGTGGGCTCAGCCCTGCACTTATCACCCTCTGCTCCTAAAAGCCAAAGACGTGTTTTCTTGGGGAAGCAGGGAATGAGGAGGAATCACAAAGAAGGTCTGCGGATGTCTTTGGTTCTCATTAGTTTGGCTTGCAGTGCTTGGTTGATTGATTTTGGTTCAGCTTATTTTTTGTACATTCCAGTTTTTAAAGCTTCAGTCCCTGCGGTGAGTTGTCGTGTGTTGATGCAGAAACTGCATGGTCCATTTCCAGAGCCCCTTGGGATTTTGCGTTATGCACTCATACAAACATACACAACATACTTTTTTTGTCGTCCTCATTTTGTTTTTAGGAACATGCATTTATTCTGTCATTCACTCTAATTCATCCCTTTTATTATTTTCTTGCCATTTGTCCAACGGTCTCACAGGTTTCCATCATTTAACCAGTGAGACAAATAAGTGTCACATAACGGTCCATCGTCAGTATTTGGATCTGTGCAGATCACTTTGTCCCTGTGTCTTCTTCATTATTTTTCCTGCGTTTACTGTCCAGCTTTCCCTTTATCCATAGGCTAAGCACCCACTCGCTTGTTCAGTCTTTCCCCATCTGTGTTCTCTGTATGGTCCAGTTGTAATCCCAGCCCTTGACATTGTCCAGCTGGTCCTGAACAGCAGACATGAAGGCCTTGTTGTTTCTGGGGCTGTGGAATCAAGGCCCATGTAGCACCTGGCCTTCAGGTTCTGTCACAATTTCTAGCCTGTGAAGGGAAGCAGACCAAGTCCGAAAAGCTTCCAGCATTGGTTGAGTTACTGTCCAACTGGTCCAGCAAGGGAACAAAAACAAAGAAATACTCACTAACTAGGGGCTTGTAGTGGCAAATTAGAACACATAAAGCTAAACCCCATTAATGATTCTTTAAGTTTTTGGTCAATATTTGTCCCATCAAAGGGAGGCGTTCAGTCGTATGTGACAGAAGAGTTGACTAGATTAGCCATTGGAAGGCTCAGGTTAGGGCTTTTATAGAAAACAAAACAGTGGGTGCTAGCATTAGCCACAACTAGCGGGTCCCAGTAGCACGCACCCTCTTGACCCGCTTGCTGACGGTGGTGAAGCGGAATGGCGTGGTGAGGTCAGGCTGTTCCCCAGGTGGGAAACGTTTCATGAAGTGCACATCCTGCTGGTTGGGGAGTGTGTGTGGACCACGGCGAGGACGCCCTCGCTTTGTGAAGCCAACGTACCAGCCTCCATAGCGTGCTGACATCAGAGCTGTGTAGTGATTTTCCAGCACCATTTCCACAAACACGCAGTCAGCACTTCGGTTACTGGCCTTCTGAGAGAGCGGAGAAACCACAAACACACAGCCATACAGACAGACAGGTTAGGGATGTGTGATACATATGATAGATACTTTATTAACAAAGAGAGGACAAAGAGGTCTCACCTTTCCTACCAGTTTGCCACGGCGATTCATGCACAAGTAGAAATTTGTTTCTTTGCCTCGGATTCTCACCTGGCTACCGAAGGTGTCTGCCTCCACTACAAGCTGGGCTTGTGAAGGGACAGACAGAGGAAGAGACAGACATTAGAGCCACAAGTTTTGTAGAGAAATACAATATAAACATATGGACAAAAGTATTTGGCCACACCTCTTAATTACTGACTTCAGAAGTTTCAGTCAAGATTTGGGCTTTGGGTTTCAGATTAGGTGTCTGGACCAATAATGATGCTTCAAACTTTGTGACAACGCTTTTTAAATTGTTCTGTTTATTGTAAAAATAATGGCTAAGCCTCAGTGCACACAGCAAAGACTATAGCAACATTTGTTGATAAGTTTGCTGTAGAATAACTTTCCAGGCCTGCACAGAGCCCTGAAGCTCCTTTGGAATGCACTGAAACAGATTGAAAACCAGACCTTCTGGTCCAACATCAGTGACTCCATCTCCTTCTCCATCTTCTACCTGCTTATCCAGTCGGGTTGCAGAAGCAACAGTTTCAGTAGAGAAACCCAGACATTCCTTTTCCCAGCAACACTCTCCAGCTCCTCTTAAGACCCCGGGGTGTTCCCAGGTCTAAGAAGGTACACAGTCTCTCTAGCAAGTTCTGTGTCTGCTCCATGGCATCTTACCAGTGGGACGTGCCCAGAAAACCTCCAAAGAGATGCAACCAGGAGACATCCTAATTGAATGCCTGAACCACCTTAACCTACTCCTTAGGTAAAGTAGTGCTATGTGTTGTCATCATTGTATGTTTCCATACAATGGTGAAATTAGTTCACTGCATTTAATCCATCATGCATCAGATACACCCAGGTGGAGCAGTGAGCAACTATGCCAGGGGAGCAATTAGGGATTAAGTGTCTTGCTCAGGGACACCACGACTTGTGGGAATGGCGGGGAGTCGAACCGCAACTTTATGGTCCCAAGTCGGCTGCCCTACCTCTACCCCATCTTGGTCCTGGATGTAGATGGACCATCAAGAGTTTCACTTATCAACTCAACGACTGTATGTTTTCACTACAACTGACAAAACAACAGCCTCATTACTGAGGATAAGGCCCCAGTCTGTCAGTTTATCCGAACAAGACGCCAAGATACTTAAACTCATCCACCTGAGGCAAAGACTCCCCCCTGACATGGAGGAGACAATCCACTCAAGAACCATGGCGTTGGACTTGGAGGATTTGGATCTCATCCCAGCTGCTTCACTTGGCTGCGAACTGCCACAGCGCATGCTTAAGTTCTTGATCCAAAGACGCCGACAGAACTACATTGTCCACACAAAGCATAGATGAGACCCTTATCTTCACAAACCAAACACCCTCCTCTCCACGACTGTGCCTGGAGATACTGTCCATGAACATCACTTTTTTTTAATGTCCACAGAATAAATGAACACAATTTCCCCACAGAAACACACCAAAATATTGTGGAAATCCTTCCAAGAAGAGCGCAGGCTCTTTTGGCTGCAAAAAGGAGACCAACTATACAGTCCCTGTTGTTTGGACAGTCAGGTGTGGCCAAATCTTTTTGTTCATACATTTTATATGAAGCTTATTCTTGCAGGCTTTGGTTTTATAGCACACAAATTTCACCACAAAAATGTAAAGATGTCAACATTTTAGATTTCTTGTACAAACCAGATTCCAAAAAAGTTGGGACACTAAACACATTGTGAATAAAAACTGAATGCAATGATGTGGAGGTGCCAATGCCTAATATTTTATTCAGAATAGAACACAAATCACAGATCAAAAGTTTAAACTGAGAGAATGTATCATTTTAAGGGAAAAATCTGTTGTTTCCAAATTTCATGGTGTCAACAAATCCCCAAAAAATTGAGACAAGTCCATTTTTACCACTCTGTGGCATCCCCCCTTCTTCTTACAACACTCAACAGACGTCTGGGGACAGAGGAGACCAGTTTCTCAAGTTTAGAAATAGGAATGCTCTCCCAATCATGTCTAATACAGGCCTCTAACTGTTCAATGATCTCAGGCCTGCTTTGCCGCACCTTCCTCTTTATAATGCGCCAAATGTTCTCTATAGGTGAAAGATCTGGACTGCAGGCTGGCCATTTCAGTACCCGTATCCTTCTCCTACGTAGCCATGATGTTGTGATTGCTGCAGAATGTGGTCTGGCATTATCATGTTGAAAAATGCAGGGTCTTCCCTGAAAGAGATGACGTCTAGATGGGAGCATATGTTGTTCTAGAACGTGAACATAGTTCTCTGCATTAATGGTGCCTTTCCAGACATGCAAGCTGCCCATGCCACAAACACTCATACAAACCCATACCATCAGTGATGCAGGCTTCTGAAAGGAGCATTGATAACAACTTGGGCTATCCTTGTCCTCTCTGGTCCGGATGGCATGGCGTCCCAGTATTCCATAAAGAACTTCAAATCGTGACTCATCTGACCACAGAACAGTCTTCCATTTTGCCACACTCCATTTTAAATGACCCCTGGCCCAGTGCAAACGTATGAGCTTGTGGAGCTTGCTTAGAAATGGCTTCCTCTTTGCACTGTAGAGTTTCAGCTGGCAACGGCAGATGGCACGGTGGATTGTGTTCACTGACAATGCTTTCTGGAAGTATTCCTGAGCCCATTCTGTTATTTCCTTGACAGTGGCATTCCTGTTTGAGGTGCAGTGACGTGTAAGGGCCCGGAGATCACGAGCATCCAGTAGAGTTTTATGGCCTTGACCCTTACGCACAGCGATTGTTCCAGATTCTCTGAATCTTTTGATGATGTTATGCACGGTTGATGATGATAACTTAAAAGTCTTTGCTATTTTATGCTGGGTAACACCATTCTGGTATTGCTGCACTATCTTTCTGCGCAACAATGGTGGAATTGGTGATCCTCTTACCATCTTGGCTTCTGAGAGACACTGACACTCTGAGAAGCTCTTTTTATACCCAATCATGTTGTCAATTGACCTAATTAGTGTTAATTGGTCTTCCAGCTGTTCGTTATATGCTCAATTTCCTTTTTCTAGCCACTTATTGCTACTTGTCCCAACTTTTTTGGGATTTGTTGACACTGTGAAATTTTGAATCAACATATTTTTCCTTTAAAATGTTACATTTACTCAGATTAAACTTTTGATCTGTCATCTATGTTATATTACGAATAAAATATTGACATTTGCCATCTCCACATCATTGCATTCAGTTTTTATTCACAATTTGTTTAGTGTCCCAACTTTTTTGGAATCCGGTTTGTATTTCCAGATTGCCTGCATTTCTTACAACAGCCAAAATCTAGCTCACACTGACAGACCGACGTATACTGCCAAGTAGTGTCACGCTGATAGCTCAGATTACCTGCCAGCATTAAATTTAAACCAGCTCTTTAAAACCAGATAGAGCGCTCACGCTGTGTCACTGTTTTAGGATTCATGGTTGTTGTTAACTGTGCTAGTAAATCACAGACAGATGTAAATGTTCCTGACTGGACAGATGGTTGTCAGATAAGGCTGATCACACACATGGATGTAAGGCCACTGACCACTTTTTGGGGAAAAAAGATAAGTAAAATAAAATATAAAAGGCAACTCAGCGGGCTGAGGGGAACAGGAAAACATTGTGATCTTGTTTTAGGGTGTGTACGCATGTGCTCTTGCGCCCCTCCCTGTGTGTTTGTGTGTGAGGATGTGTGCAGGTGATGCATGCTTATCCTTCCAGGAAGCAGGCTGCCGCTTCACTAACTGCACAGTTTTAAGGAGCGGTTGTGCCTGTTTAAAAATAAATCCCTAAAATGGTTCCTACATGACCTTAGTCAACAAAGGGGTCAGATGAAATCAATACCTCTCTCTCGCACCCTCTTCCCCCAACTCTCTTCTCATCTCCTGTCTGCACTTACACTTCATGTTTACACTGCTATGCACTTGCTCTACCTTTCTTATCTCAATCTCTAAACCTTAAGCTTAGTATGTCGTTGCAGTAATTGATCAGCTCTGGGTTAGTTTGTCTTATTTTCAAATGAAATTAAAACCAAACCAGAGAATAAATGTGTGATCCCTTGTTTGGCATGAAATGAAAAACAAGAGCTGTGGTATGCTCATAAATATTTGGTATGCTCATAAATGGGAATAATAAATAAAAATAAAATGTTTTTCCTGCTTGCGTGTCTTTCTAATATTTCTGTGCATTTTTAAGAATCGGTTAGCCATTCTAAGCGAGCAAACGATGTGGGGGATGGACAGACAGTGTTGGAAGATTGAGGAAAGGGGGGGAGAAGAAGCCTGCTGTTTGAAATCCAGAGGAGACAACAGGAAGGATGAAAAATCAATGGAAGGATCGATGAAGACCATGAGTTTCTAACACTCTACCTGCCAGGCTTCCTTCTTTTGCCCACACTTTTTTCAGTACCACCTTTTTTCTCTGTCTCAGTCTTTTGCTCTATTGTGAATCCTTGAGTCAGCACCCAGTCGATGAGTTCTTTGTACTCCCCAGACAAGCTTCACTGACCTTCTATCAAAGCCTGGGGAGGTGTGTGTGTTGGTGCTTTTGTGTGTGTGTGCCTGCACGCCTGCATTCTGTCTCCATCCATGCATGCATCTGGTCAACCTTTAAGTCTTTGTACTTGTTGGATGGTTTGAGTGTGTGTGCACATGAGAATGGTACGAATTCAGAGTTTAAAAGTTGGGCAGTTCTCCACCAACTATATGTGTTTGTCTGTCTTACCATATTTGTCTCCATCCTCTCCTCTGGCGCTGATCCTGCGTCCCAGCACCTGGACGTGCTTTCCACTGGTGCGGCTGTAAAGTTGGTAGACACGGTGATGCCTCCGACTCATGGTGTCTCGCACCTGCGTCTGGTTCTCCACATGCACACTGAAGTTGACCCCATCCACACCAAGTACCTGCTGGAACAAACACAAGCACATCCAACGTTTGGCAGAGAACCGCGAACATATTTGAAGAGCTGCGTGTATAAAACAATAAATGACTTGTCCTTTACGCTACAAAAACCACTTTTTTGGCATGCCTTCTGACCCTCACCTGCAATGGATTGCACATCACCAGCAACATCTGGATACATCTAGAAAAAACAGAAACAGATGACTTTAGAAATATTGAATGTGGGAGAAGGCGGGCATGACACCATGATTTCCATTTCTTTTTTCCTCTGCTCTCTGTTCAACATCTCATTTCCTTCTTGGGTGATTATTCACACTGCTGGGCGTGAGATTGGCACATCAACTTGACATACAGACAGGCAGATGTCCAGGAATTGGAATACAGACAACACCCAGAGCTGTGTTTACAGTAGCGCTACCAGCCTTCTGTCTGAACCCACTTTTTGACCCGTCTTTGACTTTTGCCACACCAAAATCTGGCCTGCAAATGACCCGACGGGACCACAGCAAAATGGCAAACATTCCGAGACAAGTAGAGCACGCTTTGGTTCGGACATCTGAGGAAGTGGGCAGACTCATTTGGCTGCTCTGCGTGTGTAGACAGCTGGGCTGGACTACAGGTGTTCACTCAGCTGTGATGTGGCTTTTGAGAACAGCGGATTGTGGTTTTACATTTAGAGATGCTACGAATAAGTGAGAGCATGAGCTAAATGTGTAGAAAAACCATTTATGGATGAATCAGGTCGGGGTGATGCAGTTCACATAATTATGAAGCATTGTCTGCATGGCAAAAAAAACAAAACCAGATGCATTATTTCATAGCTTGTCCATCCTGTTAAACTTTTAGGTGCAACTTTGAAAGAAACAGCTGGCTACAGTTAAAATGTATACTTTTCTCACTTAATTGACATGTAGACCTTGACCTTTAATGTATCCCATTATTTACAACTTTAGTAGGGGAGTGATTTTGTTGCAAAATCTTCTTTGGCAGTCCTTGAACAGCGCTGAATTAGTGGCTGAACACTTGATGAAGTTCAGAACCTAGTGTGTGGGCTGAAAAGCAATTCTTCGAATTTTGTCTTTCTCCACCTCATCTTTTGCTATCTTTCAGCATGCCTCTTCTCTCTCTTTCTCTGGCTTGCAGTCCTCCCTGCTGCTCCTAGGACTTATCTTTCCCTTCCCGACTTTCTCTTCACTCTGTCTTTCTCCTATCGTTCTCTGCCTCCAATCTTTCTTTATGTTTAGGGTTAGTGAGGTGACTCCTCCACACTGTCATGGGTACGCACACAGATGTGCAGATGTGTGCAGGCTAAATGTGTGTACGCAGGAGGAGCAGACAGCTGACAGCTGGACCAAAGCAAAGACATGCTGAGAGAGGGAGATAGCAGAGAGAAAAGGAAGGTGGATACACTATGTTACCGGCAGAGAGTGAGACGACGTGGAGAAGTGAAGTCAAAGAGGACCGAGGAGAAAAGAGATCAGATCTGATAGAATTTGTCAGATGTGAGCTGGAGAAGATGGGGTCAAGATTTAAAAAAAATAACACACTGAGGTTGCATATTTCAAAAGAAGGAGAAAAGTGGTTAAATTAAAGACAGAGGTGTAGCCACCGTGTGTGGAGAGACATGAGGAGAAGACAAAAAACAAATAATGGAAAGTGTTAGGTGTGTAGCTCATGAACATCGAAACACATGCTGCTGCCTCCAGACTCAGACACGTGCCATCACAACCTTCTGGTTTCCTCTCGCTTTTCACTCCTCTTGTCTCAACATTTATCTTCCATAGCTGGTGCGTTGGCTCCTGCAGTTGTCCCTAATAGATGCAGACATCCTGGGAAACGCAGTGGAGCGTTGGCCCTCGCTTTTTGCCTGCGCAGCTGAAAAACCTGAGCGCCCTGTGCATTGTGAGGACTCTCAGCTGTTAAAACACCACAGCAGCACCGCTGCCGAGGACGCTGTAGGAAAAGTGCCTCAGCACTGGATTCCCCCGCTCCCACAAAAACCACAGACACTCCATATTATGCCAGCTACAGAGAGAAAAAGAACGGGAGAGGAAAGAGGAAGACGGGATCGGCCAGTGGTGGGGGGATGGATGAGAAAATGAGAAAATAAAAGAGTGCAGAGTTAAAAAAAAAAAAGTCAGGAAGAATAAAGACAGAAAGAGGTATGGAGAGAGGGAAAGCCCGGTGTGCCTGGGCGGGCTGCCAAAACAAGCAGCCATCTGACATCATAAACCTGTGTCCCAGAAGATCAACCATATGGAGGTTGTGGTCAGACCAGCAGGCCTCAACACCACAGACTGGGCAACAGCGTCGAGTGAGAGCAGTCGACCAGGGGGGACTCAGCACGGAGCAGCGGTTTCAACGGTGTGTTGCAGTGGTTAACGTGGTTCGCCAATGCTGAAGCGCTGGGCTTCAGCACAGTTCAAGAGTTCCAAATGTTCTTCGAGCGGCCCTTGTAGGCAGAGTTAAGGCCCAGGATGCAGCAACGATTGGACCTTAAACTGCGGCTTTAACTGAAAAGTGTTAACAGGTTGTTATGACTAACAGCCCCAATCTCTTTACTGAAAAATTATTACGGCACGAGAGGGAAGCAAAGCTGCTGTGGTAACGCTGATAGGTGAGATGGAAATACACGGAGAGACGATTGGCTCTAGGAGATCTTAAGTAAAAGCAGCAGACTAAACAAGGAAACGTCTTCTAAAGATGCCAGGGGTGCCATTATTCATCACTTATTAAGTCAAACTTTTAATCTGAGTATCTATGAAAGAAAATATAAAAGTGCAGTAAAGGAATACAGATGTAGCCATTTAGGTAAGTAGAGAGAGGTTGAGAGAGGAGAAAAAAGGCAGGGAGACACAAGCAGCAGCACACACCCTGTTCAGGTTGTGCGAGGAATTAGAAGTATCTAGAGATGACTGCCATCTGGGAGGACCAGCTGAAACAAAGGAAAACAAATAAATCCATTGGCTTTTAAGAGGACACACCTAAAATGGGCAAACCCAGGCCCCTTGAATCTGCATCCCTTAGATTTGGCACATTATTGTTTTCCCTTTTCACAAGATAACATGTTATTTGACTCAACTTCTGAAACATTTTTAACAAGTTCTCGTGGCAACAGGAAAATGATCACTCCTAAGCCATCCCTGAAGTGAGTGCAGATGGTGATGGAGATGTTTATGGCAGGTTTTATGAGTAACATAGCCCTGACTCTGACCCCGTGACCCTGAACTGTCAGCCAATCAAAACAGGCCCTCTCCACTGTTTTCTATAGGAGTGATGTAATCGTTGACATTGCAACCCTCATCTTCTTCATCTGCAACTCAGACTGTCTGAAAAGTTTTAAACAAATGAACAGATAACCAGAACCTGAGAAGAGGGATTAGATTACATGAAAAAACAATTTAACTTACAAGACGGTCAACATGGAAAGAAGGGGCCACATTGCTTCCCCCCTCCACTATGGAACTTGGCCCAGAGACAGTCTCCTCGTTCGGTGTGAGCCAGTCCGACAGTCCGAGGATTCTCCCCCCGCGCTGTGAATCTGGTGGATGCTGTCCAGAGCCAAAGAGTTAGAGGTCACTCTTGTTGGCATCGGGGGGCGGCGTGTCCCCGGTCTTCCCGGCGTGGGTAACTGTGCAGGTTCAGACAAGGATGATGAGGAGGGAGGGGTGAGAAGCCCTTTTGTGCCCTATATGCGCCACTCTGACCGCCGGGCAACCTTTCACAGCTGACCAGTGGAGGGACAGATGGTGACAGATGAAGAGGTGCGGGAAGTAAAAAATAAAAATATAAAAGGGAATTAGGACCTAAATCGCTGACGGCGCGCGTCCCTGATAAGGAGAGGAACAGGTGAAAGCGCGTCCACGCGTCGCTGATAGCCAATACCAGTCGACCTTTCCGACCCTTGGCGCGACGCTTGACCCTGCGGCGAGTGCGTAATCCGGTGCGCAACGTTCCAGCGCAAAAGTCAGGTGTCCAAAATGAACTATATTGGTGTGATGATAAAAGAGTATTTGGTCCGGACACAGAAAGGACTAGGAGGAGGATTTAGTCCCAGTATTGCAAGAGCTGAAGCTTTTGGAGGTGAGCTACCTGGGCTGGTTGATGGATCACACAGCGGTCTGGAGAAGGGGGCTCTGCGGGCGCAGCGTAATGCGAGACGACCTCGGTCATGTCTGCGCACCCACTTTATGAAGCTGTAGCTCAGGTGACACTGGCCAACAGCGTTCGAGACAGAAGGTGATGAGGTCCTGAGGCGGTCCAGCTCAGAAAGTATCTGGAGAGTGCTGATTTGGAATAGGAGGGGATTAAAAAAAAGGGAAAGAACGATGAAGGAGGAGTGGATGGAGAGGATGGGAACAGCTGCGACTGGGTGGCAAACTCAGCCACCCGCGACACAGCGAGGAAATGACATTCCGCACTTTGCACCTGATTTTCCGGACTTCCCCGCTCCCCTTTAAGCTGCTGCTAAGCGCCTGGCTGCAGCAGTCCTCCGTGCGCCCTCTCCACACAATATACCTGCCAAAGCGCAGCACGATGACATCACCTCTAAAATGTTTTAAGGGGAGAAATGCAATCCGATATTTTTATTTATTTAAAAAAAAAAAAAGTTTAAAGTTTAAACAATTTCTCTGAAGTGGGAGCGAAAAACTCAAAAGTCTCCTCGTTCCGAGAGAAAAAAAAAAGGAAAGCAGAGGAGCTCACTTGTGAAGGTATAAGAAAAAAAGTTAAGGCAAAACGTGTTTACTCAAAGCAACGCTGACAGATTGAGCCCTGGAGCAAAATCTGCTCTGCTCCCACCCCCCCACCATATATCTGCCTCCCTGTTTCATTCAAACACCAGAAAAGAACGCAAAAACACCCTAGCCGTGCGCTTTCATCCACTTCACTGCTATTATGCAGATCTTTCGCTCTTAAAAAAAAAATCCAATGTTCCTTTTTTTTTGTCTTAAAAAAAAGAAAGCAAGCTGCTCTTCTTGAGGGGGGCTGCGCAGGAGAGGCGCGTCGGCAGGCACAGACCTCACTCCAAGAAAAACCAGAACAAGATTTTAACAGACGCGGATCAATCCTCCCTCCCTCCAGCCTCTCCTCCCACCCTCCCAACTCCTTCTCTTCTTCTTCTCTCTCTCTCTCTCTCTCTTAACACGCGCGCATACACACGCGCGCGCGCGCGCGCATTTATTGGATCAAAATGGGATTAGTCGGTGGCTCTGCGATGTGGACCCAACTCTCACTGCAAAAATAGAAATGTTTTACCCTCAGATCAACGTGAAAACATCTGGTAATGACGAGTAACTTGTTTCAGTAATTTCTTGGATTCGGGCACTGTTTTGGAGGGGTGGGGGGTGGGGGTGGTTAGGTGGGGGCAGTTGTCTGAGTTATTCTGCCTTGTTCTGGCAAGAGTTCGTAGCAATTCCTGAAACAAGGAAAATGCACTGGAAACAATGAGAATGATGTCATGGCACCGGGGGTAATTTAGTTTTTTAAAAAAAGAGAGAGAAAAGTTGCATTTCTGAACAGATGGGTTCCTGAGAAAGCTGAAAAAAAAAAAAAAGAACTTAAATGAGATCTCTGTTACCCTCTTCTAAAGATAACCTCACCCCTGCAGCGCAGTGGCCCCAGAATATCAGGACTCAAAGTCTCTTTGCGCGCGGGCGCGCACACACCCATTTAAAGAGATGTACTCCCCCCCCCCCCCTTTTTTTTTCTCCCCCATTTCATAACTTTTAAGTTAAACCTTAAGAGGGCAGAAAAAGGAGAATGAAAGACAGTCGGGGGAGGGCGGTATGAAAGCATGGACACGGATCCAAAACGAACATTTCTCAGGGATTTCGGCAGCAACGCCCGCTCTGCGCTCCCAAAAAACTCCCTCTCACCGCCGCACAACCGCAGACGGTCAGCCAAGCCAACACAGCACTCCTGCCATACCTTTCATTCACACACACACACACACACACACACACACACACTCACAGAGACAAAGAATAGAAAGTCAAAGTGTGTGCGCAAAGGCGCTGGCCTGCTGCATTCGGGACAGTTATCTTGGCTCCAGCGTGAGCTTATTCTTTTCAACATTGTACTTTCAAATCACACAAACACGCACTTCTACAACTGGTTGGAGTTAAGCAGGGCCGGGTAGGGGCATTGTGGTTGAATGCCTTTCCAGCTATGAACCATAGACAGGACCCTGGCCTTTTTTCCCTCCACTGGCTCTCTCTCCATCTTTGCACCTGTGTCTGGGTGCGTATTTTTTCTCTCTCTCTCTCTCTCCCGTTCACCACAATGCTGCAAGGGACATGAGTGTAAATGTTGTGGAGAGGGATTTGAACCACATTTTGGTGATGAGGTATGAGCCTGTCTGGTATTTTAAGCGCAGATGGAGAGGGTTCAGAACGGTCACTGAGGCACATCTTGGAGGAAAAAGGAAAAAACAGAGGACAGAGGAGATGAACCGAGCTCTTCCACGCAGGAGATGAGTAGCAGAAGATTTGTATAAAGTCTGGAGTTTCCAGAAAGACTGTTTTTGCTCAAATTTTTAACATTTCTGTTGCTCAAACATTCTTTACGCTCATGGACATCTGTCCTGAGGTTAGAACGTGTTCGAAATTGAAATTGAAAAAAAGACAGCAAAAGATAAACAAAAGTAAATCTTTTCATCACCAGTTTTCTCATTTGTGCTTAATGTTGCTTTTAAGAGACACAAAGGCAATATAAAGGAAAAACATGCCAAAGTAGACTTTTAAGTTCTCTTTCTCTCATTTCATCACTCATTCTGTCAGCCCTACTTGTCTTCTTTAATCCCCATGGCTTTTTATTTTAGCTTCCTCTGTCCCTCCCTCTGTTTGCTGCCAGCATATTGATTGCTCATCTTTGCCTCTGCAGCTCCTGCCTATTGATCCTTATAGCGAAGACACACACACTCAAACTTGTACACACATTCTTATATTCATGGATGTTCACTTTTCCTTTTTTGCCTGAAACAATCTTTCATGAAGACTAACTTTGCCACACATGGTTTTTACATTTTCTTGCCCATAAAAAAAGAAAAACATTCCTTGTGCACAAATACTGCAGTGCAACAAAAACTAAGAGACCTCAGTTGTTATTTTGCATGTACTTTGTGGAATGAACGTTACACCTTTATGCTCTTCTCTTATTCTCATTAAGTGAATGAGCCAAATTTGCACACGTGCGTGTTAGTTTGCGTCTGTAGCTTTGAATCTGATAAGTCCTGGTTCATCTGCTTTTTTTTATTTCTTTCTCTTTGACTACATGGGTCTTCTTCATCCAGGGAGCCGGGTCAATATGGCCATTCTGTTTAGCAATTAACATCGATCAGCACTTGTCAATAGCATCAGCACCCAGACAAAGACCCAGGGTGCATTGCGTGTGCCCGCCCTTTCTCTATCGGAGCCTCGACAAATCCCCAAACAGCACTCTCATTATATGAAGGCATTATGGCCTGACCCAAAGGTCATCATGCATGACTCCGTGTTGTGGGTGACTGGAGTACAACCTTCTTCGGCGCTCCGAGTTCTGAGCTGCAGGCCAGTTGTTGTCTCATTAACACGGTTGTGCATGCATGTGTGGATAAGACGTCAAGTTTAAAACTGACTTGTTTTAGATGATGTCAAAGATGAGTTTTGGCAGAGAGGCAATATTGTTCCCCCTGCTGTGTCCTCTGAAGTGTTTTAGGCTCTGAAAACTTTCAGCAGCCTAAATGCAATCCATCATTCTGGTGACACGCTGTTCAGATTTTGCGTTTTCAGATGTGTCAAGTGCAGTGGATTGTGTCCAATTAGGTTTGTGTATAGGCTGTGAGCTGTATACGTTTGGCCAAGTGGGCGCAGAAAGGCAGGCCTGTGTGTACGCGGGTTCTCTGGAGGGAGGGTGAAGCCTGTGGCTTTGATTAATACCTGCAGACACGGACCCTAAACTTCACACGAGACGTTGAGATGTCAACCTAACATTGGTTTCTAGGATAGATATCCCTGCGTCGTTAATCAAGGCCAAGTTTAAACTGTTCCCCAATGTGTAAATATATGAGACACTTAATAAAGGCTCTTTGATGACGGGGGGCGAGGGGGGACACACAAAGTCAAGGAATGTGTACATTGTGCTTGGCTTTGAAATGAGAACCTGTTTGCCACTTGTTCGCGTCTGCAAGATGAGAGAATCAACAGCTGCAGTTAAATGAGACCAGGAATTAATTAACAGAGCGCAACAGTGAGCTTTGGATGAGATAAAGAGAAAAGCAAAATATTGTTTCTATTAGCGGCGATGATGGTGGTGTGCACAGCCAGCTCACTTCTATCGCTTTGCAAGATTAATCCAGCGAATGTGAACATTTATTATGCTTTATCCGGGAATCCTTTTCAGCTGTTGTCTCTATACATAGTCCAGCTAAAGCACTGAAATATCTTTGACACTTTCATGTTGGAG